TAATCAGTGAAATTTTTACGATTTGTGTGTGATTGTCTCTGAAGTCATGTGCAATTACTTTGGTAACAATAATCAATTTAATGCATCCGCATTGACATAATTCCCAACAATTGCACAGCACAGCACAGCACAGCACACACATCTGCCTACTTACAAACACATCAAATGTTAATCGCTTGAATAGCAAACAATACCTCCCCCGTATTTTGTACGAGGGGGCACACTGCCTAGGCAGTGTGATTAAGCGTACAAGCCAATAAATAAACACAATTCGAGTAAAACGCATGTCAAACTAATTGAAATTATTTATTTTAACGCAATAACGATTCGTTGCGTTTCAATATTGACATTACACAAATCCATGACAAATCGTGGTAAACAGTTGACAACAGTCGATCGATCAATGGATAGGATGCGCTTATGCACACATTTCGAATGCAGATGAAAAGATACATAGATACAAAGATACAGAGATACTTTATTCTATTGCAGTGCGAAATAAACACAACTTCACGTAATGACAATATGTGTGGCATGTAAAATATTTAACATTCGTAACATTAGCGTAGTAGATAGTTATGGGTTAGACGAACCTCTCTCTGCGTACACCCACCCCCTGAGTTCTCTAATAAAATCTATTATAAATTACATTACGCAGAGCACAAGTAAGCGTAATTGGAAAAATGCAGCGGAGCATGGAAAAAGGCATAAACTAGATGTGAACTGACATTTTCAATAATTTTGTAATAAGAAAGTGAGTACTACGAGCGATAAGAGTTCCGCCGTTTGGTTCCATTTCCCATATTTGTTTATATTTTTAAATTATTAACAGGGGTGTTGAAATGAATGTCAATTTATAAATTATGTGCTTCGATAAAAATGCAAAAAAAAAAAAATATGTGAAAATTGTGTCTTTATGTCAAGAAGGTGGCTTGGGTTGGGTCGCTATCTAGTATTGATTGAGCAATGCGAACAAGCGAGAACCTTTTAGATAAATTAAATTCATTGTAAAAAAATCATTTTAAATTATTTATGATTTCAACAACACTTAATACTACTGGGTATTATTAATATGTTATTAATGATTTCATATTAATTTACTTTTTTTTGTAATTTTTGTAATTTTATCTTACCTGCTGAAGTATGATGTATCAGAATTTATTGAGGAGGTTTTTTGGCGTGTTTAAAAGGTTTTTTGTTTTGTTATCTGTAAAGAGAAAAATAAATGTGTTTGTTCAAACAATTGTATTGTTAAAATTATTAATAAAAATCTAATAGAAATTTGATATAAAATTAAAGGTATATAATACAAAATATATTAGATTTTTTATATTAAAAAAAATATATATATATATAAAATCTTCATTCGTAATTTAATAAAAAACATTTAAAAATAATTAACTTTAAAGAGCACCTACATCCTATAAAGGATTATGGATGAAAAGAGGAAAGGAAGGAAGGAGGAAAAGATGGATGGAAGAAAGAAAGGGCGGAAGGAGGGAAAGAAGGAAAGAAGAAAGAAAGAAAGGAAGAAAGAAAGGAAGGAAGAAAGAAAGGAAGGAAGAAAGAAAGGAAGGAAAAAAGGTAGAAAGGAAGTCAGGAAGAATGGAAGGAGGGATTGAAGGAAAGAAAGGAAGAAAGAAAAGAAGGAAGAAAAGAAGGAAGAAAGGAAGGAAGAAAGAAAGAAAGGAAGGAAAAAAGGTAGGAAGGAAGACAGGAAGAATGGAAGGAGGGAAAGAAGGAAAGAAGGAAAGAAAGGAGGAAAAAAGGAAGGAAAGAAGGAGGAAAGAAGGGAAGGTGGGAAGAATGGAAGGAAGGAGGAAAGGAAGAAAGGAGGGAAAGAAGAAAAAAGGGAAGGATTATGAGGTATATTGTTTATATGTTGTATATAATAATAAAAATAATATGACATTTGAAATGACTTTATAGATATTGGAAGTATACCACTTTTGTGAACTAAATACTTTCACATACTTTCGAAGAGTATGCTATAGCATAATTCCATTCCACTTTAGACACCTCATAAATAGAAATGGTTGCTTCTACTAAAGCAAAACATTATCCACGCAGCTTATCTTTGATTTAAAGAAACACAAAGAAGTCATGTAATATTAAGTCACAAATATATACAGATCCATTAATTCGATCGTTAAAATGTTCAGAAATCATTTGTTTAAAATCATGTATGGAAGTTTTTCTTTGATATGCAGTATCAAAATAAACTCAGCGACTGTTAACGGAGAACTGCGTGGTATAGGAGCCATTAAATCGATCTTCTATGTGTTCAAAAAGCAAGCTTAGTTTCTGGAACATATATTATATATTTTTCGGTAAAGATGAATCTAACTAAATATAATTTGTTCCTTCAAGTTAAAAATATACATATGTCTTATAGCATTCAGTTTAAATTTTAGATACGATACTATATCTTATAAATTTAAAAGACACAAAAAATAACAAACTATGTTAACACATATCTTTAATTATACAGTGTACGTACAAACAAAATCATTTATCTACAAATATATTTAGTACTTTTACGTAAAAAAAGCTTTTGTTTTAAATCACATACCATAAATTTAAAAAACCATAATATCTAAAAAATCTTTTTAAAATAACAAACTATGTTGGCATGTATCTTCAATTATATAGTGTCAATTTGACTGACAAAAAACAAAAGGCACAATACGTAAAAAGCTAATTAACATAGCAAATGACATTGAGCCAAGTACTCTCGTATTTGCTTTGTATTCAATAATTTGAAGGAAATTTTCACCAACTCAAATGAAATAAAAAATATGTTAAACTATTTTTAAATAAAATAAAATAAAATAAATACCTAAGATACATATCTAACAAGATAGAAAAGCTGCCAACTTAAAAATGTCAGAAATACTTCAAATCAGATAAGTGATGAGCAATGGCAGCCAGCTGAGGTATTCGTTGACGATGATGAGTATATTTTTCACAAAAATGTTGACTACTGATGTGATGAAAGTGCAGTCGAGTGATAAAAATGCCATTTGCTTCTAATTAGCTGCAATTATGCAATTTGAATTTCAACTGAAATATGAAGAAAATTTCATTTAATTATGAATGCATTTAAGTGAAATTCTTGCTAAACAATTTGAAATGATGCGCTTCAGTGGCAGCCATGACCTTTTAAATTATTTTCACAGATATAAGAAATTTATGATATCTTCATTATTCATCTGAAAAGTGATTTTAATCACTACAAAGTTATGTTATATATTTAAATTAATATATTTATGATATGTGACTCTACTGATAAGTTTTTAATTTAACATTGGATATATGTCTCACTATCTGCTAGTACTGATGGAGGTTGTCATAAGATGTGTCTTCAGATTTGTTTACTGTGTTAAAAATTTTCATTATCTGGTCACGTATGTCCGCAATATGGAGATCTCTATGTAAGTCCAATGTTCTGATGTACCAAGATGAATACACGACCCCCTTAAAACCTTAAGTGATTTGGCATCACTTAAACTGTTAAGTGTAGTTTTAGGAATCTTACCAGCTACATAACTATAGAACAGACTAGTCAGTTTCACTCTATTTTTTCCAATAGACAGTTTATTTTTGATATTATTTTTTTAATATTTTTGGTGTCTAAAACCAAATACTTAAGCCTTTTAAAGCAGTACTAATATTATTTAAGAGAAAATGTATGGAGTTTTAAAGTTTAAAGCTAATATCTTTGAAATTAGTCATAATGCTGAACTAAAGAAAGAAGATTATTATTCAGTTTGTCAAAACAAAACTAATGATATAGCTTATCGTATGATGCCATTGACAGATCTACAATATATATGAAACAACATGGCTTGAAGATAAATGGAAGACAACAAAATCAATGCCAGAAAAAAGTAGAAGCGGACTTAAGAATTGTTCATAAATTTCATATCTATTATAAAACTACAAATTCAAAGACCAAATCTATGGACTTCTAAAGCTTGATAATAAGATATTTAGAATTCAGTAAAATGTCGAACTAAGAATTAAAGCCGTTATCCAACAACAAGATTAGTACCGAATTCGAAAAAGCAGAAAAAAATTAAATAGTTTGTCTCAACTCTGAATAACACCACGAGAGGATTAATGAAGGAAAGAAAACAGCTCTAAAAAGGAAGACCACGGAAAGAAAACCACGGTGTTAATAGCTGAACAGCACACAAGCGGATTTAAGAACAATAAATAGCTAAACTTAATAAATTAGATGGTAAAAAACAAAATAGATTCAAATTAAAAGGAAGCACGCTGTTAATAGCTGAACAGCATAGATCCGCAATTAGGTATTATAAATAGCCGAAGTTAATAAATAAGATAGTGTATCTTTCATGCCGAATGATCTTACCAGTGGCGTCTACAGTGGAAACAAGATGAGTCCAGATTAAGAGAAAGAACATGGAAACGATGACTGAACAAAGTAAAAGCGAATTTAATATTCAAAAATATCTATAATTCTGAAGTCAAAGATATTCACCGATTGTATTGGAGATATACTGTGAAGGTCGCTTTGACCCATACCAAGTTGTAAATACAATACTCATATATTTTTTAGAATAAATTCTGCACTGAATGCTTTTAAAATATTTTATTTTTTAATTTGTTAATTTTTTTTTTCTAATTCTTTTAATATTTTTTTTTGTAAGATTAAACTAAAATGCATAATTGTAAGCAGCGATTGTACTATGATTGCTGTTAACCTTTTGTCGATTGGGCGGTAGAGCGAAAAAGATTACCATCTGTGTGATTTGTTGCTTAATTGAGATACAAATTCGTTTTTCATGATTTTTTCTATTATTAAAATGTGTTCGATAATTGCTATGTTGTGGTTATTGACATTTATAAATGCTTTGTTTTCTATTAATTTAGAATTAAAAATCAATTTTTTGATATATTCTTTTATTTCAGATTCAGCACATTTCAAGTGATGCTGTGATGATGTTGATAATCATAATTTGCAATTGCTCTACAGCTGGTATTGGCACCGGTAATGGTGGTGCAACCAATTGTAGTACAAAGCTTAGTGCTTGTTGCTGTGTTGCACTTAACCGCACCGAATCTGCATAAATTGCAGTTTTCAGTAACGAACCCATGCTGTGCTCAATTATTCCATATTTTTCCGATGATGCCATATTGAAAAAAAATTATAATAAAAAGCACCTGCTGAGAGTGTACGATTCGCGATGACAGCCCCATTATTATTATTTTTTTCTTTTAAGTTTACGTTTGCTGCTCAGTTTGCAGCAAAATCATTTGCAAATTACTAAAATTCTAAACAATTTTCGATGCCTCATAAATGGCACTCAGCGTATTCAAATGTAATTGACACACATTTGTTAATACATATTGCTTTTATATATATACTACTATATGTAGTTTATATATATATGTATAAGTACTCAGTGAAGTCTGCGCCTCTTAAATATGGTATATCTTTTAATTACCATTTCGCTGTTTTGAGTTTAATAGTTTATAAAACCGCTTTCCAGCTGTTTCTACCTCCCACAATGAAAATTAAATTTGAAAATTTAGTCTATTCATGGTGTGTGGTTCTATTTTACCAATTATAGAGAGAAAAATAGATAGGCAGTTAGATATTCAATTCCTGATTTTAAAGGAAACTATTAAATTTAATTTGCATTTATTTTTTTTTGTATTTTATATTTGAAGTGTAAAACAATCCCAATGCACACACTCTATAATGTTGAGATTATTTTGCAAATTTTAATTTTATTACAAATTGAAATGCCGGTAAGTAAAAGTCGGGGTGAGGGCGGTTATTTGTATTCAGAATTTTTTACAAAAAGATTTTTATTATTTAATTGAGTAGCTCAATATTTATTTTTTTTTTTATTTTTATTTAATAAAAACTTTTTTCGGTTTCATTTTATTAAAAAAGATGTTATTATAAATTTTATAAACCGTTTCCACTTAAATAAGTTTCTATTGTTTTTAGGCTATATTTGCATGATTTTTCTATATTGGAAATAATAAAAACTTTTTACTACTTATGGATTGCAAAATTTTTCCGGCAATTGATGATTGAGATGTTTAAAGCACAGTTAGTTTTAAATGAAATATTCTATACTTTTTAGAATATACAGGGTTAATCATTTTGTAAATTAAATTTTGATCAAATGCTAAAACGTCTAAAACATACTTCCAAATTCTTCTACAGTCGTTACTATATTTTGTGCTATCCACTTTATGATTCCAAAAATAAAACTAACTCAAATGGTCTTTCTGTCGAGATTTAAATCAAATTTTAATTTCAATATAATGCTTGAACTCTGCTACTCTTTTATTATATATTGATTTTTATAATTTTATCCACAATTATGACTTGAGAACGTCTAAAGCATACTTTATTTTTATTTATTCGATTATCTTAATTGCATGTAGAATTTTGTGATTTCTAACAAAATGTAAAAAACGTTCATATATTTAAACTTTGGAACCAATTTTTATTTCAAAATATTGGTTGGAACTTACAATGAGGTTAAATATACAATTTCATCAAAATTCACTTCACGGGTTTTCTTTTGTTAGCCGAAATTCATCATTCAAATATTCTGCATGTTTAATATGCCATACGGTATGACATACAGCATCTTACAAATAACCCTAAGAGAATATCTTACTATTTTAGTTCTTCCTTTGATCTCTTTCAGGATGTACACATATAGGATGTCATATATATAATAAAAAAAATATTTTAATTTTTCAAAAAATTTTTTTACATTTCAACAATACCATATTTGTGTATTAAACGGATTTCCTGAGACTATTTACAAAATATGTGCTTATTTGTAGCACTATAATGCTTTTTTACAGCAATATTTTCTCACATTTCTTATGTTTGAGTTGTATATAAATAATAATATTGGGATAATATAGTTGATTTTAATTAATATAATTCTGTTTAAAAGGTTACATTCAGTTCATGTATATCATATTCATTTACTACATTTTAATATTTCTATTTCAAATAAATTTTTTTTATCACCATTTATAAAATAAGTGCTTATTTGTAGCACTACAATACGGCAATATTTTATTGCATTTCTTATACTTCAACTAAATGTAAATAATAATAGTGTGGTGTTATAGTTGATTTTAATTAATATATTTCTGTATAATAGTTTACATTTATTTCAGCAATATCATTTTTTAGATAGGCTTTCAACGCATCTACAATAGGCCAATGTTTTACCATTAAGAGAGCTTTGCAGAGATTGAAATAACTGGTAGTCAAATGTATGAGCTACAAACTGTGTAGTGTGTAAACTGTGTAAACTTCCGAAGCAAGTTCCGTCAATTTGTTCTAAGTCATCAAAGATATGCGTGGGGTGTCATTGTCATGATGGAACATAACTCCTTTTCTGTTGGCCAGTTCTGATCGGCTTTCCTTGATTAGATTTTTACTGCTCAAATATGTTTAATATAATATATTTCCATAAAGTACTTTTAATATTTTCAATTTATAGAATATTCTTATTTATGGCAGGTTTAAATATTTTTGAAAATTTTAAAGTATCTAGCTATTTTACACTATTATGCAAAAATGCATAAAATTCACTTCTACAAGCAACAACAGCAAAATTTGCGCTTAAAAGGACATAATTGGTTTTAACAGCTGTCATTTGGAGCTCGTAACGGCCATGTACTGCAGTCAAAATGCAGTAACATTGACATTAGCAACCAACCGACGAAGTCACACCAAAAATTAATTACTGCTGGCAATATTTGATTTTGGGCATTAAATTTGTTTGAAATATTGTGGCAACGAATGAGGCTTCTCTCACATAGTACTAATATACATATGTTACCAATGTGCGTATGTTAAAATTATAAGGCCTTGTACTTATAATTCATACTATATATCATACTTATAAATGATTTTTTAAGAATTATAAAACATCGTCTTTTTTTGAAACAAACTTTATTAGTAATAAGACAAGACTAACAACTTTAGCTAAAATTTAAATACGCATATGTCAAAATAACATAGCTGCATGCGCCTACCTACCTAAAGACCTTTACTCACATATGTATTACTGAAAATATAATTTTTGTATCTGTAAGATACTTCCACACTCATATACCTATAATTTAGAGTATAATAAAGTTTGTCATTAATTAGTCGGTTACAAAATTCCATAACAAAACATAACTTCAGCTCGTGTCGCACACAAGAAACTATTTTTCAACACTTGTGACAGGGATGAGGGATCAGCGAAAAGCACTGACAAATTTTTCATGTAGTCAGACAGTTTTACACGTACCCGACCCGTGCAATATGGTGCGGTCGCTTATTTTGTATAATTTATGATATTTTGTCAACGAGTGCAAATGTTATTTATCTACACAATAATTTTTTTTTTTGTATTTACCATAACTTTTTATAATTTTTGTAATTTTTACAACAGTGTCAGGCAATGCAAATAAAAAAAAAATTTTTTTTTTATAATAAAAAGAAGCGCTCAGTGCTAGAAATTGATGGCAGATACAGATACCGGCAAGTAAATTATAAAAATTATACAAAAGTAATTATTGTATATAAAAAAAATTTGTTTTTTTTTCTTCATTTTAATAGTATAGTTCATTCATAGCGTTGAAATTTACTATAATTAGACAAAACAATATAGATACTCCGTATATACAGTAGTTGCCATATTAATTAATAAGTAGTATCTTTGACATAAAAGTTGCCACCATTGTGTGTATCGTATAATTAACGATTGCAGTTGTAAAAAATAAAATACTAAACTTTTTCCATATAAACAATATTCATACAATGACTAAAACTCGTATCTATAAAACTTTTGCTTGTGTGGGCTTCAATAGTGCACTAACCTGAACATTGAAATTTCATATAATTTTTTCGCATTTTCTACGAGTACTAAAGCCGTCGAATATGTGATCATTTTTAGTGAAATAATGGAAGCATTTCGGTTTTAGCTTTATGACAGTTAATTATTGTTATTTCGCTAACTACCAAACACACCCAAAGTAATAGGAAAATTATTTTTGAACAGACCCAAAAACAAAAAAAAAACAAGACAAAAGTCAGATTCGAAATATCCAGCGAGTTTTCCCTTCCTTTGTATCTGAAAAGTTGAAACGAAAATGTTGAATATCAAACTAACAAAATACGTATATAATATACTACAAACTACAAAAATAGTAGCACATAGTTTGTAATTAAAGGTAATTATCTATTGTTAGTTGGCGGTGCTAGTCGTTTTTAGCAATGAATGAAAATAAAAATAAAAATTTATATTGTGGTTGAGTAAAAAATTTTTCTCATTTAGAAAATGCAACTGAAGTTGGTTTTAAAAATACTGAAAATATTAATTAATTAATTGTTTTTTTAAATATTTATTTACCTTTTCAAATTGCAATATTGAAACTTTTTTCTTAATTAACTACACTTATTTTTAATAATGCTTAAATAATGCATAGCAATAAAAATTAAAAATTAAACATAACTAATTAAAATAATTTAATTAAAATTCATTTCACCCAATTAATATTTTAATATCAACAATTATTGCTAATGAATTGTAGTTGAAAGTTTTAATAGTTATTTAAATAGCTTCTATAATTAAAATAATTGTTAATTATTATTACCAGATTTAATAATATAGTTGAAAGGAATGAATAAAAATTTTATTATTGTTTTATTTTTTTAAATATAAAAAGTGTAATAAATTTATTTATATAAAGTCATCATTAAATTAGGACAAAAATAATATATGAAAATACAAAGAAAGTAAAAATAGAATATAACATTCTATTTTTCGATATAAAAAAAATCGAAAAATTAAATGTTTAGTTAGAGTAAGATGTTCAAATAAAAGATCTACCAAGTTCTACTAAAATTACTGCCAAATTTTCAAATTTGCCAAAAAAAATCGAAGGACAAATATTTCTAACAAAATGCTGCACTAACTGCTTTAGCAATGAAAATAACGATACAAACAAAAATGAAAATAAAGAAAAATAGAGAGAGAGAGAGAGAGAGAGAGAGAAAAAGACAGAGAGAGAGAGAGAGAAAAAGACAGAGAGATAGAGAGACAGAGAGAGAGAAAGACAGAGAAATAGAGACAGAGAGAGAGAGAGAAGGAAA